TCGAGGTTGACGAGAAGGCTTATCTTCGGGTCACCCCTCTGAAGGGAACCCATCGCTTCGGTATCAAAGGCAAATTGGCTCCCCGTTACATTGGACCTTTTCGCATTCTTGCCAAACGAGGAGAAGTTGCCTACCAGTTGGAACTACCTCCGCACCTCTCCAAAGTTCACGATGTCTTCCACGTTTCTCAACTCAGGCGTTGCTTCTCGGATCCTATCCGTGAAGTGGACCACGAAACGCTTGATCTCCAAGATGATCTTACATATCGAGAGTACCCCATTCGTATCCTCGATCAGGCCGAACGTACCACGCGACGTCATAATATCAAGTTTCTCAAGGTTCAATGGTCGCACCATTCTGAGGATGAAGCAACTTGGGAAAGGGAGGATCGTCTTCGACTCGAATATCCCGCCTTCTTCTCGGAGGAACCCAAATCTCGGGACGAGATTCTTTTGAGTGGGGGTGAGTTGTCACAACCTAGCTAGTCATGCATTAGAGTGTTGCATCATGTTTACTTTTTCATCAGAAACTTGAAATGGGGATGACAGAACCCCCAGTCCCCTCTGAAACCAACTAGGGTTACTAAAATAATTTTTCAATGAACCTGAAATGCCCTTCTAAAATGCCCATCATTTTTGCCTTGGTTCAGAACCTCTGCCAAAAGTGGTGCACATTTTCCTAGGCCATCCTAGGGTTTTTGATTTAAATCATAAATATTTGAATTTGGGCATTTAAAATAATATAAAATATTTAAATGCTCAAATATCTCCAAACTAAAATGTTTCATGTTGGAAATAATCCAACTATGGACCAGGAGTAGTTTGGTGATTTTTGGAGTTGCCTAGGTATTTTATTTAATTCAACAAAGTTGCAGTTATATTAAATAAAAACAGAAACAGAAAAAAAGGGAAAAACTTACCTGTGCGGCCCAGCCAGCTGGCCGGCCCAGCAAGCCAGCCCAGCCCACCACCGCCGTCGTCCTCCTGGCGCCAGTCGGCCAGGTGTGTGGCCGGCGCGCGCGCACGGCCACCGCGCCACGCCACCTCTCTCCCTGCCTGCCTGCCCTCCCCTCCTCGCCTCGGTGTCCCTGGACGACGCCACGCCTCCCCCCTGCTCTCTCTCACTCTCCCCCGGCTCTCCCCTCCTCTCCCTCGCTCTCTCTCTCGCCCGGCCGAACACCACCGTCGCCGCCGTTCGCCATAGCCACCGTCTCCGACCACCCCTCGCTCCCCCGACTAGCTCAGGAGCTCCGCCTCGACTCCCTCTTCCTCCCCACCGCTTCACAGCTCCCCGGAAGCCCTGCATCGCCGCCACGTCGCCGTTCCCCTCTTCGGGCTCCGACCACCGTCGCCGTCGAATTCGCCGTCTCCAGCGCGTCCCCGAGCCCGCTTCGACGCCCACTGCAACCGCGGTGAGCTACGCCACCGTTTCCCCCTCTCCTTCCCCTCGTTCCCTCACCGTAGCCTCCTCCCCACCACGGCCGAACCTCCGCCGTCGCCGAGCTCGCCGTCGACGCAGCTCCGGTGACCATTTGGTCACCCCGGCGAGTCCAACGAGTTCGCAAAACCCCGTAGAGCATCCCTAGCGCCTCGCTTTGCTCGACTTCGAGCTCCAGCACCGTTCCCGTGCACGACCGAACCCCGGCGGCCGCAGCCGAGCTCGCCGCCGTCGACTCCGGCCACCCCGACCCCAACGGGCTCCGCCAAGAGCTGCGGGTTGCCCTCAGCTCCACTCCGGTGGTCTCCGCGGTCCGTTTGGTGGCCGAAATGACCAAAACCACTTCCGCCGCCGCGTCGGGCTCGCCGGCGACTAAACGCCGGCAGCCGACATTGACTTTGACCACGGGTGGGCCCTGGTTGACTCCCCTGAGTCAATGACAGGTGGGGCCCAGCCCTATTAATTAAACAGGATTAGCTTTAATTAAGTTTTAATTAAAATAATCACCCTGACATGCGGGACCCACTGTCAGGTTTGACCCAGACCTGTTCCGTTGACCTGCTGACGTCACACTGACGTCAGGCTGACGCAGTAATTGATTTTCTGGATTTAAATTTAATCAGGAAATTCCAGAATATTATTTAAACATCAAAAATTCATAACTTTTATTCTGTAACTCCAAATTGGACAAATTATATATGAAAAATGATCAGAAAAATCCAATCTATCCATCTGTACTATTTGCATGCATGATCAAACAAGTTAAATTGATGTTTTAAGCAGAACAAGAAAAGGCACTTTAAAAGGCCATATTTGAATTTGGAATTTGAATCTTTGATTCAAATTTGTTCAAACCCTTCTGGCTTCAGTTGCATTAGCCCAACACACTCATATTGCCATGTTTCATGCATGCATCATATTGTTGCACATTATTTGGTGATGCTTGTGTATCGATGTCCTTTGCGACAGGATCTGTCCCCGAGGAGTACCGTGATTACCCTAACGAAGAACCGTATCCGTGCATCGAACCATCAGGCAAGCAACCAACCATTTGATCATATCGATACAATCCCATGTTCCCGCTCCTGCTCTCTTTTACTGCATTAAGACAACGCGATTCAAACTGCTGTGTGCTACGGTAGTTGAACCCATTTCCTCTGCATGACCTGTCATTGCCACAGTAACTAGATGAAACCCACTAGCATGTGTAGGAGTTGCTTGAGCCATATGTATGTGTTGTTCCTACCTTGCTATGCCTGCTATGCTTAGAGTCGTGTCAGGTCTGGTTCATCGGGGTGATGGGCTGGAGTGAAATGATTATGTCGGTAATGAGAGTGGTGTGGTGAACACGATTTGGTAAAGGTATCGATGAGAGGCCATGTAGGAGTACATGGTGGGTTGTTTCATTGAAGCCGACCTTAAGCACTGAGATCTGTATGTGTGATTTAAGAATCAGCTACTACCATGCATTGGGCCCGAAACCAATGGACCCTCTCGGCTTCTTATTCACCCTAGTTCTCCGTCCAGGAGTTGCAAGTAGTTTCTGGTGTTTGTAGCCTACTGGAGGCCGTGGACATCGCTGACCGTAGGGGTGGGCTGTGATGCGGTAGGTACGTGGCCGGGTGTACCGAATACCCGTTAGGTATCTCGGGAACCCTGTTCACATCGTTCGGGGCCGTATGGGCAACCTCGGCCGGACTCCTTGCGGATGGAACCTGAATAGGCGATAAACCTGGACTGGAGGCTTAGGTGATTAGGTAGGTCGTGGCCGACACCCACGTTGGGCTTCCGCTTGAAGGTTGCCGAGTACATGTCGTGTAAACGACGGTAAGTGGTGAGAGCGTGTATGAAGAAGTACACCCCTGCAGGGTTAACATGATCTATTCGAATAGCCGCGTCCGCGGTAAAGGACTACTTGGTTGCCTATACAGTTCATAGACAAGTAAATGGAAACTGTTAAAAGCCTCAAGATAAGTGTGAGTGCCGAGGATGGCTCTTCCGTAGGAAGACGGAGGTGGATCCTCGGTAGTGTATTGAAGTGGTGAGTAGTGGACTCGTGTGCGCAAAACCATTTCAAGTTGGAGTATCGTAGGATAGTCTAGCCAAGAGTCAAAGCTGGCTTGCTGCAATAACTCCACCAACCCTTCTTGATACTATGCATGTATGTAGGATCTGATGTAAGTCTTACTGAGTACCTTTGTACTCATGTTGCTATAATCTACATTTTTACAGAAGACGCTGCAACCCCTTCTGATGGGTTCTATGTAGACGTTGACATCAACGAGTAGGCTAAAGACCCAGGTGGTGACCCTGAGCTTGTGAAGGACCACGTAGTATAGCTAGGCTTTCCAAGCCTCTTTTATTTTACTAGTTGTCTGTACTCAGACAAGTTATTTCCGCTGCTGGTTTGTATGACTGTATGACTTGTATGTGGGGTCGTGAGACCCGTACCTTTGTGTATGATATGTATGGCTCACTGAGCCTTAAATAAAGTACTTGTGTCATAGAGTCATGTTGTGATGCTTCGTTGTATTTGCACATATCGAGCATATTGTGTGTATGATTGAAATGCTTGGTATGTGTGGGATCTGACCATCTAGTTGTTTATCTTTAGTAGCCTCTCTTACCGGGAAATGTCTCCTAGTGTTACCACTGAGCCATGGTAGCTTGCTACTGCTCTGGAACACTTAGGCTGGCCGGCATGTGTCCTTCTTCGTTCCTGTGTCTGTCCCTTCGGGGAAATGTCACGCTTTGAGTACTGGAGTCCTGTTAGCCCGCTACAGCCCGGTTTACCGGAGTCTTGCTAGCCCAGTGCTACAGCCCGGACCCACTTGCTGATGACCGACACGTTCGAAGCTGGGTCATGGATGCCTGTCCCTGTAAGTCTGTGCCACTTTGGGTTTACGACTAGTCATGTCAGCCCGGGCTCTTTATCATATGGATGCTAGCGACACTATCATATACGTGAGTCAAAAGGCGCAAACGGTCCCGGGAAAAGGTAAGGCGACACCCGTGGGGATACCGTGCGTGAGGCCGCAAAGTGATATGAGGTGTTACCAGCTAGATCGATGTGACATCGAGTCGGGGTCCTGACATGACTTTCAACTGCGGGAGCCAACGCTCAACTGTACTGTAGAACCCAATCTAGAAAGATAACCTCATTATTTTTTGATGCAACTTGGCCACACCGGCTATTCGAGGCAATACGCACGGTTAAAATTAAACAGTCTTGCTAAGTCTCAGTTGATGCTATATTCATAAGATTTTTCATTGAGATTCATGCGAATTTTTTTTAGTTTTTTTCTCGCTTGCTTATGTAACTTGACTGAGACCTAGCCACGCTCAAAATTAAAAAACGGATTGGATGAGTCGTACGAACACGGAAATCGCCAAACAGTACAAGGCATACATTTGTTACACAGGGATCGATCACGCGTACACCGTACAACGACCAACACACAGACACATCTTGCAAGCTGGACTGGCCGGGGAAAGTAGGTTTTTTTTTCACCTTGCAAGCTTGACTGGGCGGTGAGAGTGAGACGCACAGGATGCTTACAGAGTTAGAGGTCGACGACCTTGAAGTGGCCTCGGTTCTTGACGACGACGTCGTACATGTGGACGGAGCGGAAGCGCGCGAAGTCTCGCGGGAGCGAGATGAGGTCGAGGCTGCCGTCGCGGCGGTGGAGCTGCACGACGGCGCGGTCCTCGTAGTAGCGCTCCCATCCCAGCGACGCCAGCCGCCGCTCCAGCGCCCGCAGCGACCGCATCGTCTCGTTCGCCGGCACGTACACCAGCGCCTTCCGGCTCGACGCCTCCCGCTCCAGCTCCATCACCCCGTCCTTCCGGAACACCCACACGCCGCCCGCCGCCATCGATGAGGTGCCGGTGTTTCTGTCTAGCTCCAGCGTCGCATGCGGCTCCTGCGGACTGAGTGAGGCGCATGTCTAAATATAAAATCGTCGTCGTCGCCATTGCCGTTGCACGGCGGAGTACTACGTACCAATAATGCAAGGCAGTAAGTAACGTGGGCCAGCGTATGCACAGGAGGTCGAGGGGCTTCACGTGGACGCTAGCTAGCTAGCTAGCTGCAACTTTACCCCGGCCCAATCCGGGCAACGTTTGTAGTTTCCAATTCGAGCTGCCAACTTCCGCCACAAGCCCCGACGAGTCGACAACGATATCATTGCTCCTGAGCAAATGCTATTCTTAAAGCATTTCGCCGACCCTCGTACTGCCGCGTAACAGTCCGAACCGCACGATGTGGATACGTTTTGCCATTTAACACGGTTGTGCCGCATCACTGCCACGTCTTGACTAATTTGGCAAACCAAAAAACCCTACGCCCCCGTTCAAAAAGGTCAGCAGTGCCGCTCCAGGTCAGCAGTGCCGCATTCATACCGGCTCAAAGCGACATGACTTCTCATAACGCTCAGGCATCAAAAACGGCGCGCCGGCCGCGCCTCTTCCTGGTGCATGTGGCTGCCCGTTCAAACAATAGCCTGTCCGTTTGCCTGCCTACATTTAACATTTGTGTGTTTGCCGAGGAACGATGAGCCGACGCCACCCGTTCGTCCGTCTACCACCCGTCATTAATTACGTCGCCGGTTGCCCTGTCATCTCCCTGCTATACAAACCGTAGGCCCGGCCATAGCCGCATCCATTATCCTCCACTCCCTTCCTCCTCTCTGCAACATGCCCTCCATCAGGGGTGGACCTAGGAGGAAAATGTCCCGGTGTTCCAGTGTAGTCCCATCACATATGCATGGATATCAAGTAATGTTATATAGCCATGCATAAAAATTAAAACTCAATAGTTAAAAATATTCAACAATGAAATGCTTACCAAGTGGGTAAAATAAATCGTTCCATTTGAGATACTAGTTGATTATATACCGTAGAATAATAATAGTAGTAGAGCATAAAAGACTCCAAACTATGAAAACAAAGATGATTGTTAAAATTGGAAAATCACTCCAAAACTAAAATATCACAGTAATCTAATTTGCAAATAGATATGAACCACTATAAAAATTGAGATGTCATAGAAATAGAATTCTCAAACAGATGTGAATTACTCCAAAAAATAGAAATTCACAATAATCCAATTGGATGGCAATAATTAGATGGAATAGATGCATGAAGGGATGATCGAGTTGCCTTTGCCGTAATGTTTCTCCAGCGATCTAGCAACTCCGGACCTGCTAATGTCCCTAGTCTGTGTAGGGACGAATTCGTGTGCTCTTGAGTAATACAATCTTTTTACCCCGCAAAAAAAAAAAACTCCGGCATGCCGCAAGGTGTGCGGCGGGTTGCCGAACAGGAATCAGGCAGAGGACCCCGCAAAAAAAAAAGAATCAGGCAGAGGAGGGGAGAAACCAGTAGGCGACAGGCCCACGACACGTCATTCAGTCAGATTTTCTTAGGGGCACTCAATCAATCAGACTGATCACGTATTAGTTGACCACATGGGCCGTCAGATCAGATGGGTGTAGCCGGTGTCCATCAATACCTTTTACCGGTGTCACACGACTACTTGCGCTACTTATATGTCGTCTCAAACAAAAAAACTTGCGCTACTTAGATACACGTAATCATAAAAATTACCCGGTGTCCTGTGATACCGGTTAGCCTGTGATACCGGTTGCGTGTACGTAGGTCCGTCCCAGCCCTCCATGGCCTCCTCAAACTCCAAAGCTGTCTGGGACGGACAATCATCCGAGAAGAAAAAGAAAATCACCTCATTGCAGCCGGCTGGCAGGCCAACAGACAGACGGAGACTGGCGCTGCAGATGTCTCAATGAAGGACATGGCCGAGGACGAGCCGGCGCCACCCTCACCATTACATGCCGGTAACTCCATCAACGAGGCTCATGCCCACTACGCGGACATGGTACTGGAGGAGCCGGAGGCCAAGTTCCGGCAGACGCAAGCCGACCAGACGTACAACCTCCACCTCCTCATCGAGCACCGGCGCGCAGAGGAGCAACTCGCCGCCGGCACGACCATAGTGCTGGACGTGGGCATGGCCGAGCAGGAGGCGCTGGTTGATTCCTACTGCACGGCCCGCGAAATCCGCCATGACCGCTGGTGGTACATCCAGTATCAAGTGGATTTACAGGATGCTTACAAGGAGATGGACGAGACGACAGATGAGATGTTCGACAAGAGGGACAACGTGAAGGACATCGTCAGCTCCGCCACGGTCGCGCCCCCACCGCCACGACCATGAAGTTGGCACGTCCACGAGCACCGCCGGCAACCAGGAAGAGTAGAGCATGGGAGCTTGCCGGCACTCAGGTCCCAGGAAGGCCACCACTCCTCCTCTCCCGTTGAAGCCAAGCTGGTTGGGATCAACATCGTCAGCCGATTAGTCGCTCAAACTGCGGAGGCAGAGCTGGAGACTATGAAGGCGGAGCTGGAGCTACATTTTCGCGGTGGTCACACATGGGCAGACGCCAACGATCATTTAGATTAGGTTTAGATTAGAGCCGGGTTTAGTTAAAATATGTCCGAATATTATGAATTTCGTTCGTTTATACGAAATCCAGCCGTTTTTCATGAATTTTGTCTGTTTTGTTCAAATCTTGTTTCAGTTGTATCCGGATAGCATTGGATGGCCGGCTCCCGCATCCATGTTCGAAAACTGATTCTCCCTATTCACGGACGGACGCGGGAAAAAAAATTAAGAATCGGCATTAGAGATGCCCTTACACATTGGTTTTACCAAACTCTTACACATCACTTCAATCTGCGTTCAGTTGTTCCCCAATTCTTTTCTTGACGGTTATTGGTTATCTCACAGCACGTAGCATTTCCGTGGAATCGGCTCCTAGGAATAGCAATTTTGATTGCTCCTGTTAGCCAGCCAATACGTTTTCAGCCTGAATGCACGAACATGGGGCCAGCTGGGCCACGTCAGTTACTCATAGCCAGCATATGTACGCACAGTTGGACATTGAAACACAAGGGTTTAATTAACATAAACAAGCACAGAAAAAACGATCAAGATTCAATCATAACGAGTATAGCTTGTCACTCTAGTACTTTTTTTTTCTTTGAGAAATAGTCACTCTAGTACTCGAGACGGGCACGAACTCGGATAATACCATACAAATAGTACAATAGATATATTGTTAGTATACTCACAACGATATACCAGCCGTATAGTGAATTAGCATGCACACAGAGCTTAAGGTTGCAAGCTTAACTGACCGGGAAAGCAGTGGTTGCGTACGTGAGTATACTACTACTACAGACTACTAGTAGATGTTAGAGGTCGAGGACCTTGAAGTGGCCTCGGTTCTTGACGACGACGACGTACATGTGGGTGGAGCGGAGCTGCGCAAAGTCCCGCGGGAGCGAGATGAGGTCGAGGCTGCCGTCGCGGCGGTGGAGCTGCACCACGTCGCGGTTCTCGTAGTAGCGCTCCCAGCCGTGCGCGCCGAGGCGCTGCTCCAGCGCCTGCAGCGACCGCATCGTCTCGTTCGCCGGCACGTACACCAGCGCCTTGTTCCCCGGCCCGCTCCGGCTCGACGTCGACCCGGCCGCGCTCTCCAGCTCCATCACCCCGTCCTTCCGGAACACCCACACGCCTCCGTCCGCCATGGTCGGTCTCTCTGGCTAGCTCTAGTGTGGCGACTGTTGGTGCGTGCGTGAGGCACATGTTTAAATATATTATCTTTTTTTTGAAACTAGGCAAAAGATTTGCCATTTTCATTAAATAAGAGAGGAGGTTCAGACATATGTCGCAACGCGACCAAAAGAAAAGACTACTCTTGCAACATGAGCCTACTCAAATGCTTGGCCCCAGCCAAAGTCCACAGGCAGGCCTCCTCTTTAATTCTCGTGACGATAATTATGGTCGGAGTCACGGCGTTGCGAAAAATTCTGGCATTTCGTTCTTTCCATATCTCCCATGAGACAAGCATCATAATGGAGCCAAGAGTCTTTCTGTTATGATCCGCGTTGCTCACCGCCTTTTGCCACCAAGTTCGAACCGAAACTTCATTTCGCCAAATCATCGGTGAGCAGTCGTGGATTCCCAGCCAAATGGTAATCTCATTCCAAACTCTATTCGTGAATCTACACTGAAATAGCAGGTGGGCAGCAGACTCTTGAACTTGCTTGCAAAGGGGGCAGAGGTTGCAATTGAGCCATCCCCGCCGAGACAAGCGATCGGCCGTCCAGACTCGGTTCTGGAGAACTAGCCAAGCAAAGAACTTGCATTTGGGAGGAGCCTACGTCTTCCAGATCATGGAAGTATTGGTACCGTAGGTGAGTCCCGCAAATTGCGCCAAGTAAGCCGAGAATGTCGTGTACTCTCTGCTGGTAGTGAATTTCCACGAGTTTAAATATATTATCATGGTCGCCGCTGCTGTCGCTGTCGCCGTCGATGTGGCGCGGTGGCTTGCGTACCAATAATGCACGCCAATCATCATGAGCATGGGCCAAGGAACGTACAGGGGGCGTGCACGACGCGGTCATGGGGCCTCCATTGCACGCTAGCTAGCTAGCTAGCTGTAACTTTTTTTTTTAAACATAAACGTCAGAGACGTCCGGCTTTAAATTAATAAAGCCCACAAAACTTAGGCAGACTAGCACAACCACCGAACAAAACAACATAAATTAACACGACAATTAAGAGGATAGGCCGCTAAATGAGCGTAAAGTTGCGTTACAAGGCGGAGAACGGCCCAAAAGCAGCGAGCACGCAGGCTCGGAAGGTACTAAGACCAAAAGGGGGTTGCCCATCCCTATGCGGCAACCAGTTGAGCAGGCGACGGAGCTCGAGCCTCGGAGTAGACGGCGTGGAGACGACAGATAGCTTGGCGGTGGAGATCAGAGTCCTGTTGTCTTCCCAGCGATGCCCATTGCTGCAAGAAAACGATGCATTTGAAGATAACATCAGCGGGATGCGAGGGGAACACCCCCTCAATAGTAAACTTGTTACGGGTATTCCAAATAGCCCATAGCATAGCCGCCGCACAAGTCCACATGACCCTACGAGACGCGCCTTGAAACCCAGATAAGGAAGACACGAGCTCAGGTCGGGAGCGTGGATCCCAATCCACTCCCGCGGCCTCCCGGACCGCGCTCCAAGCGAAACGAGCCAGGGAGCAAAGGAAGAAGGTGTGGTCAGCATCTTCCGGGACCCCACACAGCGCACAGGGGCCAGAGGCGGGGCCGTTGCGTTTAGCGAGGTTAATAGAGGTAGGAAGGCGATCTTGACAAAGTTGCCAAAGGAAGACCTTAATTTTGAGCGGGATCTTTGCCTTCCAAAGCCTCGTGGCCGCCGACGGGATCTGACCGTGGCATAGCTCTCTGTACATGGATTTGACAGAGAATTTGTCGGAGCTCGCAAGTCTCCACGAGATCAGGTCCGCGGATTCCGACAATCGGACGTCCGCAAGTAGCGCCAGAAGGCGGTCCCAATCTGCCAACTCCGGCCCGATTAGCTCACGTCTGAAGTTAATACAGGGGGGGGAGGTGCTAAGAGCCGAGGCAACCCGTTGCTCGGGTTCGACCGCTAAGGAGTATAGTTGTCGAAACTCCGCCCATAATGGGCGCTGGCCAATCCAATGATCAAGCCAGAGACGCGTAGAGCGTCCGTTGTTAACCGCAAACTTTGCGCCCCTGGCAAAGAGGGGTTTAAGGGATTGAATGGAATTCCAGAAAGGAGACCCACTGGGAGCCGCGTCAAAAAAATCCCCTCGCGGGAAATATTTTGCCCGGAGGAGGTCGATCCAGAGGCCAGTCTCACCCTGAGTCATTTTCCAGATCCACTTGCACATTAGTGCGATGTTCATCAACTTGGAGTTGATGATCCCAAGAACCCCCTGGGTTTTGGGACGACACACGGCTTGCCATTTAACCATATGGTATTTTCGTTTCGGTCCCGCTCCTTCCCAAAAGAAACAGGACCGCGGTGTGTCAAACTTAGAGTGTACCCCGTCCGCCAGCAAGAACAGACCCATGGCAAACATGGGCAAAGATGAGAGGCTGGTGTTGGTAAGGATTAGTCTTGCCCCTGAAGACATAAAACAGCCCATCCACGGGCAAACCCTATTCGCCACCTTGGAGGAGAGGGGCTCCCAGTCAGCGATTGTACACTTCTTTGCCGCTATTGGGAGCCCGAGGTAAGTAAACGGGAACTGGCCTAGTTTGCAGTTAAGCAGGTTGGCGACCCGTTGACTTTCTGTCGCGTCCATCCCTATGGACACCACCTCACTTTTGTGGAAGTTAATTTTTAGTCCCGACATGAGTTCGAAGCACAACATTATAGCTTTGACCGAAGCGATACTATGTGTGTCGGGCTCGAAAAGAAGAAGAGTGTCATCTGCGTATTGCAAGTGGTACACTCCTCCCGGGATTAGGTTATCCACGACACCCCTAATGTGGCCGGCTAGACGAGCCCTGTCTAGCATGGCGCCTAAAGCGTCCGCCACGAAGTTAAAAGCAACGGCGATGCTGGGTCCCCTTGACGCAGCCCGCGCTTGTTGCGGAAGAAGTTCCCTACTTCTCCGTTCACCGTGATCGCTGTTTGGCCTCCCGAGACCAATTGCATCATGCGGTGAACCCAAACCGACGAGAAACCTCGGTCCAGGAGTACCTGTCGGAGGAACTCCCAGTTCACGCGGTCGTACGCCTTCTCAAAATCGAGTTTGAGGAGAATCGCTGGCTGTCGAGCGCGCTTAAGGGAGTGGATAATTTCTTGAAGAACCAGCGGCCCCTCCAAGATGTTACGGCCCCGAATGAACGCGGACTGGGTTCTACTAATAATGCGGTGGACTATCGGAGACATGCGAGTAGAACAAGCCTTAGCACAAATTTTAAACGGGACATTAATTAAGGCAATAGGACGAAAAAGTCTAATGTGATCCGCACCCGGGACCTTGGGGATCAAAGAGAGAACCCCAAAGTTCAGGCGGGAAATGTCTACCGTACCGCGCATAAAACCGTTGCACACGTCAAAAATGGCGTTTTTGAGCACTTGCCAAAACCGCTTGAACATCGCCACCGGCCACCCATCCGGCCCCGGAGCAGTGTCAGATTTCATACCCAGCGTCGCCTTGTCAATCTCCTCAGGGAGGAAGGCTAAGCTCAGGTTCTCGTTTTCCTCGTCCGTGACCCGCAACGCAGGGTCCCACACATCCTCCCTCAGGCGAGCCCTGGATTCCTCCCTGGAGCCCATGAGTTGGATGTAGAACTCGTAGATGTGCCGGACGATATCCTGTTGCCACAGTATGAGCCCCTGCTCCGATTGAAGACGAAGGATAGTGCACTTACGGCGTCGGCCATTTGCGTATGCGTGGAAGTATTTTGTGTTCACGTCGCCCTTGAGCGTCCACTTTATTCCACCGCGCCTACGCCAGTACTCTTCCTCGGCCCTGAGGAGGGATTCGACTTGGGCCTCAAGCGCGTAGCGCTGGGCCCAGTCCTGCGCGGAAAAGATGTGCAGATCTGCCGCTGCGTCTAGCTGGGCTAGCTCCTCGGTCAGGCGCACCCTTAACAGCTTATCCGCACAACCCTGATTAGCTCCCCACCCTTTGAGAGCCGCTCGCATACCCGCCCCTGCGGCAATCCAGAACTCCATGGGGCCGCGTACGCGCCCGATGCGAGCGACGCAATTCGCCCACTTCGAAAGGAAGGTTTGCTCGAAGTCCGGAGACTCCAGCCATGCTGTTTCGAAGAAGAAACGCGGGCTGCGTTTAAGCCTTTCCTCCCCCGAGGAAAGGATGAGGGGGACGTGGTCCGACCCGATCCTAGTTTCTGCGTGTAGAGAGCACAGGGGGAACAGCACCTCCCACTCCGAGGACATAAAAACCCTGTCCAAGACCGTACGCACCGGCGTAAGCTGTTTGTTGGTCCAGGTATATCGAGCCCCCACGCGGGCCACTTCCCTAAGGGCCATGGAAGCAATAGCATTATTAAACATGGCCACCCTTGACCAGTTAATAATACCGTTGTTCTTGTCCGCTCCCGAGCGGATCAAGTTGAAGTCACCCCCCACCAGCAGAGGAAGGTTGCTCACGCCAACAGCCATCACCTTTGTCTGAAGCTCTTCCAAGAACTCCAGCGAGAGCGAGTGATTGGCCGGGCCATACACGGCAATCACCACCCACTCCTGAAGAGTGGCGCGGTGCCGCACGTGAGCCGACAGGAAGAAGCGGCCGGCATCCCAAGCCACCACTTCAAGGCAGACTAGGTTAACTCCTAGCAGCAAACCCCCGGAGTGTCCTACCGCAGGCACCCAGTGCCAGACGAAACGCTCCAACGGGTCAACCGCAAGCATGTCCCGGTGGTTGAAATCGGCCTTGATAGTCTCTTGCAATCCGACCACGTCGATTTCCTCGTTCCTAATGAACTCTCTTAACTGGGTCCGCCTCCTAGCGTGGCCGAAGCCTCGGATGTTCCAGAAGATGAAACGCATTAGATGATGCGATTTCGTAGACGGATACCACGAGCAGTAACCGCTTTGGCCACGCGCCGTGTCTTGGCAGGACGACGGTTGGAAGAGGACGGTGCAGCCCCTGCTACTTGGTCCTCCTGATCGGGTCGCACACCTGGCACCAAAGAAGCCCCTGCTTCCTTTGCTGCAGGCGCAG